TGAATAATAACTCCTGGCAGATGTTTGTGCTGATGACACACAAATGTCAATCGTTTTCAGACGCTCTCAGCTGGAAGATCCCTGAAATCTTCTGCTGGCTTTACAAGGAGGGGAACCTCTCTGCAGAGGAGATGGCCCAGACCTTTCCCTGTGGGCTCGGGGCGGTGCTGGTGGTGCAGCAGGACCTGGCCCAGCACGTCCTGGGGGCCATCCGGCGGCGGGAGGAAGCCTGGCTCATCGGGAAGGTGGTTGCCCCGTGTCACACAGGTCAGCAGGCTCCTCGTGGGAAGCAAAGCCCCAGAAGTGACCCAGAGTGTGGTTTGCTCTCCCTTCAGTGGGGTTTGCACTTAGGGATGTGTTGTTTGGTTTTAAAGTGGAGACAGGGTGAGTTGTTTTGGAGGGTGATTCTGGAAGTGCTGAGTGTGTCCTGGGAGCCATCAGGTACCCACAGCTCTGGAGGCCCTGAGACTCCCTGTTGCAAAAGTTGTGTGGTTCACATCTTTTCCCCCTTGTTTCACCAGCCTGGAGGCTCTTTGACACCTCCACATCCACATTCCCTCATCAAACAGTGAGGAGTGAATGTTGCTTCAGAGTGACAGTACCTGGATAACCTGTTACCCAGGTACCTTCTGGAGGCTCCAGTAAATCCCTCAAATATCAGCTGGTGTTTTACCACAATCCTGGTAATCAGCTCACCTCCTTCCCAGCCCACACAGGTCCATGTAAAGGCTGAGGATCTGTGCATCTGATGAGCTGTGGATGGTCTGTGTGATGGTAGGGCTGAAGGTGTGTCCACTGACTGACATCCAGCATGATGTGAGCCAAAATCCCTCTGGAAACCAAACACTTTGGGCAGCCAAAGTGTCACCTCAGCTCCATCATCACGGGTTTTAGTGTCATTTTGCAACATAAGAGGAAGAGGAAGATGGGAATAACAGATGGGGCTAAGCCTTGAGAAGGCCAGGCCATGCCCAGGCCCTTTGAACACCTCTGGGAGTGAGTAACACAAAAGGGATCAGCACAACCCCTGTGAGCTGGGCTGGTCAAGCAGTGAGTGCCTTTGTAGTCCCACCAGTGCCAGCAGAAACTCGTTGCTGATGCACCTTCTTGTCATTGAAACTTATTGTTAATAAACCACATTCAAGTTTATAAGTTCAACAGGGTCAGTTCAGAGGGCAAAGTCACATCTAACACTTTCCTCCTGTCTTTGGGGGAGGTTCCCACATCCAAGTGCAGAACCTGGTGGAGGCCCTGCAGCAGAGCAGCCCCCAGGGCCTGCTGGGTGACCCCACCATGGAGCCTCGGCACCAGCCCAGGAGGAGAAAGGTGAAGGTGGCAGTTCTCGTCTCTGGAACAGGTGAGCTTCCACTGTCCTGGCACAGGGAAATGTCCTGGCACAGGGAAATGTCCTGGCACAGGGAAATGTCCTGGCACAGGAGAGCTTGGGCTCAGCCCTGACCCAAGTGCATCCACCTTGACTTTCCTTCAGGAGAGTCTACAGACCTTCTGAAGCCAGGCTTGCACTTTGACCAGAGCACAGGAGGTGTGTTGTGCTGCTTAAAGGAGCTGTGTCAGGGCTCCAGTTCCTTTGTGCTGTTTGGACAGTTGTGAAAAACCAGATTTTTGCTGGATGAGCAGGGCTGGGAGCTCGTCCCAGTGCCTGGGGGCTCATGTGTGTCCCCCTGTTTGCTCTGTGTGTCTGAGGCACGACCCTCCCCGCGCTCATCGCTTACACCAGGGAGCCAGGCAGCTGTGCCCAGGTCGTCCTTGTCATCTCCAACAAGTCTGGTGTGGAAGAACTCCGGAATGCAGCCCGGGCTGGAATTCCCACCAGGGTAAAGACACCCGTTTCCTTTCCTTTTTCTCCCCACTCCCGACCCCGGAGCAGTTCAGGGAGCGCCTGTGAGCAGTCAGGGGGCACTGCTGGGGAGAACTTTCCCCGTGGGTCAGAGCATGGAGACACAGCTGGCAGAGCTGGAAGGAGAGGCAGGGCTGGGAGTCCTCACAGGGGGCTGGGAGTCCTCACAGGGGGCTGGGAGTCCTCACAGGGGGCTGGGAGTCCTTCCCAGCTCGTCAGGGAGGGGTACAGCCCAGAGTTAGGAAGGGATTTAAACTGCTGGTTTGGGTCTGAGGTTGCAGCCCATGAGCTTCAACCTTTGGCTGAAATCAGTGAGACTTCAGGTTCTGCAAAACACATGAACATGTTTCCCCTGGGCTTATCCCTTCTCAGAATCATAAAATCACAGACTGGTCTGGGTTGGGAGGGACCTTAAAAATCATCCAGTGCCACCCCCTGTCATGGGCAGGGACACCTTCCACCAGCCCAGGTTGCTCCAAGCCCCGTCCAACCTGGCCTTGGACACTTCCAGGGATCCAGGGGCAGCCACAGCTTCTCTGGGCAACCTGGGCCAGGGCCTGCCCACCCTCCCAGGGAAGGATTTCTTCCCAACATCCCACCTAACCCTGCCCTCTGGCAGTGGGAAGCCATTCCCCTTGTCCTGTCCCTCCATCCCTTGTTCAAAGTCCATCCAAGTCCCTCTCCAGGTCTCTTCAGACACTGGAAGGGGCTCTGAGGTCTCCTCGGAGCCTTCCCTTCTCCAGGATGAAAACCTGTGTCTCATGTTGTGCTGAATAATCCCACAATCATCAAGGCTGGGAGAGCCCTCCAGGATCATCCAGTCCCACCCCAGCACCACCACGATCACCCCCAATCCATGTCCCCAAGGGCCACATCCAGACACCTCTGGGACACTCCCAGACACAGGGACTCCACCACCTCCCTGGGACACTTATTCCAAGGCCTGACCACTCCTGCAGGGAAAAACTGTTTCTAATCTCCAATCTGAGCCTCCCCTGGGGCAATTTTAGGCCATTTCCTCTCCTCCTTTCCCTTGGGACATGAAAGAGTCTGACCCCCACCTCACTCCAACCTCCTTTTACATCATGGAGTGCCCTGGAATGAATCCAGTTTGTTCCTCTTTGCTGCCCAGGTGGTTGCCCTCAATCCCCCCGAGCTGTTCCCATGAATGGTTTTGCTGTTGGAATGTTCCAGGTGATTGACCACAAGCTGTACGGGAGTCGCTCGGAGTTCGACAGCACGATCGACCGAGTGCTGGGGGAGTTTGCTGTGGAGCTGGTCTGTCTGTCAGGGTTTATGAGGGTTTTGTCCAGCCCTTTCCTCCGAAAATGGAAAGGTAAGAAATGTTAAGTGTAGAAGGGAACCCATACAGGGATGGTGGGTCTCACCAGGACTCCCCTGCTGGAGTTCTGTCCTTTGGTTAATCCTCAGCCTGGCTGGCACTGAGGGCATTCCAGCAGGGGGGCTGCCCTGTGCTTCCAGTCCTTCTGCCAGTGGGATGCTGGCTGTGGATTGGCACAGAAACCCCTTGTGCTGCATCAGGAGTGACATGGGGCAGAGGCAGGGCACAGACTGGCTCTGCTGCCTCCCCTGGGAAGGGCTTTGATCCCACCCTTTGCCAAGGAGCTCTGCTGGGGGGTCCTGCTGAACTCACTCCCTGCAGTTTCCTGTTAGAAAAAATGGGAGAGAAACTCATTTCTCCTGGAAGAGCAGAATTCCCTCAGACCAGGCCAGAGGTGCTCAGAGCTGTTTGGAACCACTGATCTCATCTCACTTATATTTTTTAAGGAAATTCAGTTCAAATTATCATTTCTTCTCTTTTTTTTTTTTTTTTTTTAAACTCCTCTCTAATGTCCAGGGAAAATTTTGAATGCTTCTCCCTCACTTTTTCCACTCATCAAGGATGGAAATGCCCCTCAGGAGCCCCCACAAAGTGGATTCAAGGTCACAGGCTGCACCGTGCATTTTGTCCTGGTGAGTGTCTTTAGGAAAAAGGAATTGGCTTTTTTCTTTCCTTTCTGAAGGCAGAGGCAGGCAGAGGGAACAGGGAGGTGTGGGAACCTTGGGGTTGTTACCAGTAAAAGGCGTGGGGTTGTGTTGTATTTGGGGTTTCTAAAAGTCCCCTTTTCTTCCTTTGTATTTTGGGGTGATTTTTGCAGTTTCTCCCACTCTCAGCACTGGCCTGGAGCCTGCCATCCCTGATGTCCCCCTTGGGCAGGGGGCACCTCTCCAGCCTTCCATCCCTCCCTGATGTCCCTCCCTGATGTCCCCCGGGGTCACAGGGGTGTCCCTTGGGCAGGTGGTCCCTCTCCAGGTGCACTCGGAGCCTCCTGCCCACGACCACCCGCGTGCCCACCAAGATCTCTGCCCCGTCAGCATCACCCAGAACCTCCCTGAGCCCGCTCAGCACCCCCCCTAAGCCCCCACCTGTCCCATTCCAGGAGGACTCCGGCCCCAGGGCCGTGATCCACCGGGAGCCCATCCCCGTGCGGGCGGAGGACACGGAGCAGGCGCTGGCGGAGCGGGTGAAGGAGGCCGAGTGCCGCGCCTTCCCCGTGGCCCTGCAGCTCGTGGCCAGCGGGGCCGTGAGCCTGGGAGCCGATGGAAGAACCTCCTGGAAGCAGGAGAGCCAAAGTCTGGGGCTGCACGGGGAGAAGGGAGACTGCACATCCTCCCTCGTGGCTCCGGAGCCTCCCGAACACGGTGGGGAGTAGGCGGGTAACGAGGGGCTCGTGTGTGCTCACCTTCCCTCCCCCTCCTCCTCCCGTGCTGCTCTCTGATGTGCCCATGGCTCAGGTTTCCACTCCCAGCCTTTTCCCTCAGCTCACAGCCTGAACCATTCCATGATTCTCGGTGTGTCTGCCAGAATTGTGACCTTCGTGCAAGTAACAAATCAGGAAGAAAGCCAGAAAAGCCAAAACAGAAATGAAGTAGCCAGAGATGAATTTTCCAGAGGAGGGATCAACAAGAGCCATTTGATGCAGTGGGAAAAATCTATTCCTGTTCTGTGGTGTGTCCTGGAAGGGCCCTGCTGTGTCCGTGCTCTTGGGCTCTGTGGGAGCAGCATCAGCCCCAGTTCCAAAGGCTGAATTTTTCCCTTTTTTTATTCTGTGTGGGGGCTTTACTGTGGCACGTGGGGTTTGATACTCAGGGAGGGGAGGAGTTCAGTTCCCTCCTGTGAACTGCCATTCCTGGACAGAGATCTGGATCTGTCCCTTGCACTGCAACGACGGGAGCAAGGAAGGTGCGTTTTTCAGGAGCTGGGAGAAATGGGAAGAACTGCACCCAGGCAAGGTTATGGAATATTTGGTATAGAAAACTTCTGTGATCAAAGCACTGCTTGGTTTGTGTTTGGTCTGTTGTAACTGTGGAGTAGCTTCCTGCTGTACTTCATTGGAATTGCATGGCTGTTCCCAAGCAACAAATAAAGTGTTAGAAGAGAAGAGGGTGCTGGGTGTGCTCTGCTGGGTCTCCAGCTGATCCCATGGTCGGAACAGCTCGGATTTCTCTGTTCCTCCCTCCCCTCTGGGGTTGGGTCTGGGGAGAGTTTACTTACCAGGTTGTTCTTTTTCCAGAGGGGAAAGTGAACAAAGGTCCAACTCACTGGGAAATTCCTTTTTAGGCATTTGTAGAAATACAGAGAGGTCAGAGGGGCTTTGGACAAGGGATGGAGTGACAAGACAAGGGGAATGGCTTCCCAGTGCCAGAGGGCAGGG